CCCCCCCCCCACCCCCCCACCCCCTCAGTGACAGTCTCTGTCAGTGTAACACACCTGAAATATCGCGTTGGCCTGAATTACTCTACTTTGCTGAATTAATATTTCATCGCTCTCGAAATGCGTGTGGGTGGGGGGGGGTGGTGGTCAGGTCTTGGGCCGCTGAGCAGCATCTCACCTCCCCCCCCCCCTGTCATTCTCAGGCTTGGATGGCTGAAGCTGCTTTCTCCTGTTAGTCATTCAGGTCTGCAATGAGCCATCTCACATCCCAGCTTCCTTTCTAAGCTTTACTCTGCAGTCATTGTATTCATATTTTTTTATTTTTATTTATTTTATTTTCCTGTGCACGTTGGCCCTGCCCCACCCTGAAGTCAGTGGGTGAGAATCAGCTGAGCGTTCACTCATATCTGCCCAGACTCAAGTGACAGGCCCACACCTTTCCATCGGTGCATTGCAGGGAGTTCCCACTTAAGAACGCGGGTTGGAAGGCTTGGCGGCAGGGTTTCATAGCGCCCCCTGTTGGCCTAGGGGTGCTTCTGCTATTCATGTCTCTAATTTAAATGTAATGATGATACACTCATAGTTTGCTGTTGCAGTATTTGCTTATGGAATTTTTCTGTTGTGACTTGAAGTGCTTGACCAATGTGTTACAGCGGAGTTGCACGCCTTGATGTTCCCCAGGGGCTGATGGGGGCATGTAAGACTGACACTCTAGCAGATGCCCAGCGCCACAGGGGACTGGCGGCTATAGAGGCGTGGAAGGTGCCTTTCCGTGGTCTGCTCCTGACCCAGGTGGTCTGCTCTTGACCTAGGTGGTCTGCTCCTGACCCAGGTGGTCTGCTCCTGACCCAGGTGGTCTGCTGCTGACCCAGGTGGTCTCGCTGGGCCCGGTGTCCTCCATGCAGGCGTGGGACTGACAGCCAGTCTGAGGGGGTGCGGGGTGGACTGACCAAATATTTCTATCACGATATTTTTTAAGATTCTGGCAGTTTTACGGTATATCATGTTTTTTTTTCTTCGTTTTGACAAAGTTCACCATTACCATGGCAGCCAGTACTTGCATCAATAAAATCTGTTTGCGAATGTTTTTAAGAAGGTTTTTACTAATTACTATTTACAAATCGTTTACATTTCGCTTAATAGTATAAGTGACACGTTCTGTTAGATAATGTATATTCAGCTCTATATCGTCATGTTTTCTTAGATAAATGATGTACATTTAGCTCCGTAGAGACATGTTTTACTAATTATTGCCATATATTTAGCTTGGTAGCAACATGTTTGCTTTAACCAAGATTATTTTAATAATTATTACAGTGATAAAGCGATATTAGGGATTTTGCTTTAAATGCATTTAATTGCAGATCTAGTTATATCACAAATCAATCACCCCGGTGTGCGTCCATCACAGTGTGTTGCAGAGGATTATAATCCTACTGCGTTCCGAACGCCCCCCTTTCATCGATAAATCAGGGGCCCTTCCTTTAAAGGAGCCCATTAGGGGCTAAATGCTTTAGCGAGGTCATTGCCGCCTCCACCGCAGTTATGTGGCAAGACGCCATCGCCATCACCCGCCGTCTGCTGAGTTTTATTGCGCTTGGCATGCCGGGGGCTGTTTTCCGGAGTGGCGCCCAGCTGGGCTCGAGTGGACAAGGCGGAGACCCCACCCTGCCGGCGAGCGGGACCCCTCCCGGTCATGTCGACACCTCCCGCTGGGAGCCTGCATTTTCCGCAGCGTCTGTCCCATTGACCACAATAAAAGGGCCCCGCAGATCACTCAGGTTGTGTTCCGGGCGGCTGGCAGAGAGGGGAACACCTCCCAGCCTGCTAGCGGCACTTCCGGAGTTTCCATGGCTGCAGAACCCCCCTCGGTTCCACACTCCTTCTGAGATCCTCCATCCTAGATGACTTAAGAGTGAGAGTTACGGTCCGAGGGTCAAGGCCAAGGGGAAGAATAGCGATCTGGACCGAACGGTACCAGTGCCCCGTCCATCAGGAGCACTCTGTCTCCATTTGATGAGAACTTCCGATCAGAAACTCAGAGTTGTGTTTCAGTCAAGTCAGAGACACGGCGAAGGATTAGGGCTTAAATCCGGCCGGCTGGGTGAGGCTGCTGCTTTAATTTGCATGTGCTCATCGTGTCATTATTCTCCTTCCTTAATCCTGTAATCCTAGACAGCAGAGATTATCTAATCGCATATTATCGTTTCACATCGAGCCCTGGGTTAAACCGGCGTAATGAAGCGCAGCGCTCGTGCTCCGTCCCCTAGCGAGGCCTCCCCCAATTCACGGGCTTGCACTGCTTTCCTCATTTTAATCCCTTTTGTCTCTATATGAAATATTCTAAATGTATTCTGGCGAAGCATGGGAGGCATGCTTAATCCAACTAAGTCCTTTTAAAACTGTTTACCGTTAACGGCTTGGCACTACATCGCAGCAGTGCTCGACACCATGGAGAAAACGGCGAGCTGGGATCGCCTTCGGAATCGCAGGCTTAAAAATAACCTTAGGCCCGGCCTTGGCGGTCAGCATCCGCCAGGAAATCGAAACCACTAATACCCTCAGCATCTAAGAGTTGCTTGATTTTTTTTTTTTCTCAGACTAAATCAGGACCCAGAGTCCAGGTCGGAAGAGAAACGGAACATTTGGATTTAATTTGTTTACCAGATGCTTTTGTTGTACATTTTTGTTGGCAAAGCAGGGTCAGGCAGCGCCTGGAGCCATTGGGCATTAAGGGCCTTGCTCAGGGGCCCATTGGTGTAGTCAATCTGCTTACCATGGGATTTGAACCAGCGACCTTCCAATCACTGGCACAGCATCCTAACCTGCTGACCCACGTTGATATACAGGCTCTCAGGCTCACTTGGAAAAAGTCTAGTGTCGAAATGTAGTGCATAGACTGGGAGGCAAGGACCCCTTCGTCCCATGATGCACGCTGCCCCCCGCCCCCCCGCCCTGCTGCTCCCTGACCGTTAGTCTCCTCAGTCCACTGGGCGAATCGTGATGAGGCCAGCTGTGCCTTTGCTAACGTCTGCAGGAGGGGGAAGTTAATTTGGAATCGAGTGCGGATGTCTGAGAGAAGCCGGAGTCGAGAGGAGCGGAGGGGCCCCAGGATTAAAAGTCCATGACACAGCAGTTCATTCTGCGGGAACAGAGAGCGTGACGAGATTTAAAGTAGCACAAGCTCCTCTCTGTTAATCCCCAGTTTGTAATGTACGAAAACACTCACTTTAACATCTCTGTGTTCTGCTGTGTTCTGTTTCCTTGCATTTTTAGAGGTTAGGTGAGGTAGCAGCGTTCTCTCAGATTAAGGTGACAGTAGTCTTTAAGGTGAATATGTGGTCTGTATTTGGTGTTGAGGTGACAGTAGTCTATAATATGAATGTGTGGTCTGTGTTGTTCCTGAATGGCAGAGACTGTTACCCTGGTTGCCTGTTTTTGGTTGTTCTGGGTTATTTAATTAAGTACCAGAACGAGCTCAGCCCTCACACTGCAGAACCAGGCAGTGTACTCCCACGTTCCAGCTCTGAGGTTCCCTCCGTCGCACACGCACCACCGTCCATTATGGTGATATGTGAAAACATAATGGTAAGAGGCAGCCGTGTTTAACCACTGGGTTTTTGATGATGTGATCTTGGCTTTATGACAAAGCGAAAAATCTTAATGCTTTCTTATCTTACTGGAATGAAAACCCAGTGCTACGATGTAGATGCTTCTTAACACTGATAACATAACGTGGTGTGACTTTGGTACGTTTCTTGTGTATTAACGCCTGTGTGTGTGTGGTTGCGGTTCTCCTGCGGCCCCCCTGTGATTACCCTATGATCCCTCTGTGGTCCCTCTGTGATCCCCCTGCGGTCCCCCTGTGGTCCCTTTGCAGTCACCTTGTGGTCCCTTTGCAGTCCCCCTGCGGTCTCTGTGCGGTCCTTTTGCAGTCACCCTGCGGTCTCTGTGCGGTCCCTTTGCAGTCACCCTGCGGTCTCTGTGCGGTCCCTTTGCAGTCACCCTGCGGTCTCTGTGC